ATTTGTATCTGAGAAAGAAAAAAAATACATGTTGATAATGAATATATCATATTTAGCGGTAATGTCTTTTAGCATAGCTAGTAAGTTTCTTTTGACATGATGGTATATGATTAAGAAAACCGGCATGGCTTCTGCACCATACATCATAATGATTTCCACCATTAACTCCATAATTTTTTCCCATGTCTTTTATCTTAAAATCAAACCATCAAATCAACATGCAAAAAGCATATAGGAGCACAATCATCAAACACTTCAAAAAAGAAAAAAGGCTTCCCCCTCAGCCCTCTCTGCTATTTAGAGAAAGCCACTAACTAATAAAAAAAGAAGAAAAATGCACACAAACTTTCTGATATAATGGGATTGTATTGTTGTTTCCGCCATGGTTAAAAACGTTAAGTGGCTTTTGGAGTTAAACGTTTTCCGTCGAGTGGAGGAGCAATGGCTGAGTGAGGCTCGGTGTTCTGCTGGTGTTACCCTGCTCCGCCGTAGATTCAAGGGCTCCCTTTTCTTTTGCTGCCAACTTCCTCTCTTCGCTTTTTCCCCATAGCACTAAGTACAGCCCGACTATAATCAACACTGCTCCGATGAATCTGTAAGCAAAAAACGTGTCAAAATGGATATTAATAACAGTTTAAATACGATTCCAAGCACTTACCCTCCCAAATAGAACTCTTCCCCTAAAGCAATGGATGCCATGATGGCGACAACAAAAGTCTGAACAGGTTGATAAACAGCAACGAAAACAGGGCCGCCTCTGTCGATGCACCATATCTGCACGGCGAATGCAATCCCCGATGCCACCACTCCCTGCATGTTTCATGCACGAATTTAATATTATATTGTTCGTTGGATAGATCGAAAAGGGTAGAATGCACTGACCGCGTAGAGGATAGTGAAGAGTTCTCCGCCGGAGTGGAACATCCAAGCTTGAGAGTCTCTCTCGAAAACTAATGCGATGACGAGGAACTGGATGAGACCGAAGAAACATGTGTAGGATGTGACAGAGAGTCGAGCCGGATACTTCTTCAACACGGGTGCCTGCAACACCAGCCAAGCGGACCAGGACAGGCAATGGCCTATTAGATAGAGACAACCGAGTGTCCAGTTCTTTCCATTCGCGTCCCCTAGTGAAACAAGCATCGCTGTGGGTTTGTTTAGAGGTGGAACCGGGGTGTATATGGTTGGACCTTTGTATAGTGTTATAACCGATGCTCCGGCCACACATAAGATTGTTCCAATAACCTTGGATATCCCATCTTTTCTATCTAGTCTCACTTTCTCTATCCTGATATCAACAACAATCACACACATTATTACATGTCATGTCATGTCTACACACACACACACATATATACACCTTAGTATGGCTGCCATGAGAAAGGTAATGGCAGGGACAGAATTCTGGATTGCCGATGCAAAGGTTGGCGATGTGTTGTCTAAGCCCAAGAAGTAGAAACCCTGATTGGCTGTGATTCTGTCATGTTTAAGAAAACAGACGATTAATTTTGCTTTTATTGGTAAGAGTTTTATTTAAGAACATGGTCTTGTATTACCCTACGAGAGCTAGGAGGAAGAACTGCAGAAGAAAATTTAGAGTAATGGTTGGTCTCTCCTTCCTGGAAAAAAAGAAGAAGAAACGTTTGAAAAAAACAAGTTAGGGTTTAGTTTTTAAAGCTGTTTTTAGAAGAAACGTAGGGTTGAATGAATTACTTTTCAAGAAAATAAGCAAAGGGTAAGAGAAGAAGCAAAGCAATGATGTTCCTATAAACTGGGAACACAAGTTTGCTAACGCCCATATTAAGGGCGGCCCTTGAAACCACATGGAACCCTGCATAACCGAACTGCAAGGCCAGCATCGCCATGTGAAGCTGCAGCCTTTCGGGGACCGAACACAACATCCCCTTGGCACGGACTGAACCACCAGCATCTGCCATTGAAACACAGTGATCAAGTTCACAAAGGAGAGTGGGTGATATGAATGAACGGAAATGGTGGGTATAAATATAGTTAAAATTTGGAAGGTTTTGGATTGGACCCACAAAAGATGACATGTCAAAACTGTTCATAGTCCTTTGTAAGATTGTTGGTTGTCTCCCAGTCTTTTTCACTCCAACTGAAGAGACAACTTCAAACGCAACAACATGAACAGAAAGTGATGGAAAAAGAGAAGGAGAAGATTATATTTATTTAACAGCTTCTGTTTTGGCTCCATGCCATTAATGATTATGATCAGAGGTAATGAAACGCAATGGTCGGTAGCTCGCACGAGGGGTGGAAAGGCTCCCCACCTCACATTTACTACTATGCTTTACATTTTCTTGTATTTTTCTTCATTATTTTAATACACAGTACTAAAGCATTTGCATACTTTATGTATAAGCAGTATATATATGTCGGGAAGATTCCCCCGCCTGATTATCACAGGAATCAGGGGTGTAAAAAGTTGACTCGCTGAAATCGATTTGAGTTAAAATTGTTTTTGACTTGCGCTGTGGTGATCCGAAATCGACTCGAGTCGGAATTGGTGTTGACCTGAACCCGAGTTAGACTTGGAAATTGTGGATCTGAACCCGACCTGCATCCGACCTAAGAACGACCTGAACCCAAATTAAACCGAAAATATGATACCCGAACCCGAACTGCATCCGACTGATATGAACCCGAGATTGACCTGGTAAATAACTGGTATTACCCGACCTGTTTTCAACTTGACCTGTTATGAACCTGACCTGTAATTAACTCAACCTATAAATGATCTGACATGTTAAAGTGATATGATATTGTCCTGACTTATAAGTAATAAGTTACAATTAATATAATTATGTTATTTTAAATTTATAATAAACTTATGATAATTAAATTAATATGATTACTTTTTGAAATTTAATTTTTATATTAATTATAATTTGTATATTATAAATTTGATTTTTATATTAATTCTAATTCTTTATATTATTTATAATTCTTATATTATAATTTTTTTTTATAATCACTAAATTAAATTTAAATATTATCTTATTGAACATGATTTTATTAAATTATATAAATTGAGTTAAAATATTCATAAATCTAATCTACTTTTAATGTGAAAATTGATTAATAATTTAAGTATAACTTAACTTGAAATTTTAAAATAAAAATATATTAGTTGAAAAGATGAACTTATTAAAGATTTAAAACTTGAATAATACAAATACTAAAACAAAAAATTTATAAATGAAGTTAATTTTATTACACTTGAAAACACTAAAATTACAATAAAATCAACTAAACAAAATAAATTTATGTTAGAATAAATGCTCTCAAATCTTATAACTAAGGTTTTACAAGGCTAAAAGTCTAACTATACTATCAAAAATATCATCATCAAGCCTTTATACCTAAATGATGCCAACATATTTAATTGTGGGCAAATTTCAAGCTTTAAAAGCTAAAATGCCACCAACATAATTCTACATGAGTAACTATTTAGATAAGAATTTATAAGGTTCAAAAATTGATTTAAGTCAAACCAACAACAATAATTTACAAGGCATCAATGAGTAATAAATAGCAGCAACTGGCAAGCATCAATGTACCAATTCAGCAAGCATCATTACATCAATTCAGCAAGCATCCTACATTAAGAAAGCATACAATCAGTGGTAAAGTCAAAGGGAATTCAATGGCCAACAATGCCAAACATTTCTAACTTTACCAAACCCTTACAATTCAAACATAAAGCCTGCATTGAGATTCAACAAATAAGAACCACTAAAATTACTAAACAACAGAAGGCATTATAAATAGCACCATATATGCAAATTTCCACCATCTGTAGGACAGTTTGCCATATACTCAAGGTCTGACAACTCTTCTAATGAGAATGAGTAAAAGGGTGCACACTAAAATATGAGCCAGCACGTGAGAGCAGAAACAAGAAATATCAAAACCTAAGAACAGACTAAGAGACTACTACTACAAATTGTCTACAGAAGTCTGGCATTTGTCTAATAAGACACCTATGAATAGGGTTTAATCAAAGAAATGACTTTGAAACCATATAAAAAGCACTAAATGATGTTGAAACCATATCTATATAAAGGGGAAAAAATATTTTAATGCATTATATTGAAACAACTATTCCTACAGTATAAAATAAAAGTATACCAAAATTTCAATATCATTAAGATTCTTGTTAAAAAACACTTTAGAAAATAACAGAGCAATTAATTTTATAATAAGTTAATAGTGTTAGCCCAAATTTTAGTAAACCCCAATTTATGTGGAGAATTAGAAATATACTCACTCAAATTAGCATCTTGATCAGTAAGAACATTGTCTAAGAGCTTATGGACTGCAATACAGTCCTTGAGTTTCCACCTCATTACTGTTCCAAGTTCTCCATTGTTGAATTAGAAAGAGAAACAATGAGATCAATTTGAATTGCATGGAATCAACATAAAAAAGTCACAAAAGTTGATACACTAAAAGCATTACTTTGAGACAACTACCACATAAATGTTGCCTCGTGCTTGTAGTGGATAATCAAATGAATATGTCTAAACTACCACATAAATTTTATTTCACTAATTTAGTCTGGATTATATCAAGTGGAATAAGATGTCATAAATATGAAATAAAACACTCAAATAACTTTATTAGATTTAGCAGTTTGAAATTCTTAAACCTCGTCCAAGAACAATTAACACAACAGCAAAGATAAATGTTACATCATATCACTTTTCATTGGTTATACTTTCTTGTCAACAATTTCTCATGATTTATTGTTCATTACAATCAGGGATCTCTTCTACCCTTTGAGTGATTTATTAACCTACTTCCTTGGCTAGGGGTGATAATTATGATATCAACAGTACACATGCCACTAAGACTAGCAATTGCAATAGTTCCAGAACTGGTTTACACAGATTTTAGTTATTAGTTTTCACACTTAAATGACTTCATATATGGGAAAAATTTAAAAAGAGATTTGAACTTTTAATTTTGCCTTCGTACCTTGAAAGATCTCCCAGATGAGACGTTAACAGTTTTAGCAGCCGAAGCCACTGAAACCCTACAAATAAATTACTTCACATGGGTAAACTATAGTCTAATAAACAGTAATCAAACTAACGTACAAATATCCATATAGAGCTATATCATCTTCAATTGAATTTTAATCATATTCATTTTGGATAAATGGAACTTTTTTCCTCATTCAATAACAATGCAGACATCAGAGTGTAGGAAAGGCGAAGCAAATGTATGTCATTAAAATGCAACTAATTAAACCCTTCATAGAGGGAAACAAAATCACACACTGCAGCCAAAAGGAATACTAGTTGAGAAAAGTTGAAACATATCCGTATACCATTGGAAAAAAGGGAAAGACAGTTAAAATAATTTCCATAATGGACTAAATGAATGAGGGTTCATACCGCTCCATCAAGGCACCTCTCTGATTCTTCCTGCGTTACAAAAACGAGTAAAGTCAATTGCAGGAAGAGATAGCAATTCAAAAGTATTATTAAAAGAAAAAGTCACTCACGTTGATTTAGAGTCATCATAAACTTTCGTGGAAGAAGCGAAAGAAGTAAGATTGTTAAGATCTGACAGCGCTTTTCTTTGGACAACTTTATTTTCTGAAAAATGGACATGCAAAGAGCTGTAAACAAAGTTCCCATGGCATAGAATTGAGATAATAATTATGACAATTTTGTTGCAGATGCAGATGAAGCTTACCAGAACTATCGCGTTTGCCTTTAATCTTGGTCATATTCTTCAAAGACCCCTTCAAATTACATTTGGAAGTTAAACATGAAAAACAAATAAAAGCAAGCGCTCTAAATATTACATTCTTTATTAAGGAAAAACAATAAAAATGGTAGAAACCTTTGAATCATTTGCAGTAGTTAGAAAGGCTTCTTTGCTACCCACAATTGATTTCGTCCAGGAAAAAAATTAAGAGAAAAAAAAAATAGAACAATCAAACTATTCTTTATTTAAAAAGAAAACAATCAGATATGCCGTAATTAAGCAAAAGCAAAACTTACATGGTAGATGCTTCATTTTTGGTCTTTTCATTTTGGGAATAAATTTTGAACCCTTTGTACACAGATAAGAACAGAAAACAATGATTTCAAAATTAAAAAAAAAATAAAATGAAAAGGGAGAGATTTTGGATGCATTTGGCCGGAAACAACAATTATTTGGCGGGAAAGACGTTAATTTTGGTGCCACAGTTGGGAGGGAGAAAACCCGCGAATTTTTTAACTTCATTTGATATTGTAGTGTTGTCTCTTACTTTTAAATTTATTCGATTTAGTACAAATTTAATGATGTAATATATTAATTTAAGCTTCATATTTCAAATTTTTTTAATTTAATCCAAATTTAATGTTACTTTTTATTAATTTAAGCTTCATATTTAAAATTTGTTCAATTTGATCCTTATATATTTTCCAATTCTTTCAATTAATATATATGTTTATATTAATATATTAATATATTAATATATAGTTTATACATACTATATAGTTTATATATACTAATGAACTATATAATTTATAGTTTGTATATACCATATACTATATAGGTTATATGTACTAATGAACTATATAATATATAGTTTATATATACTAATGAACTATATAATATATAGTTTATATATACTAATGAACTATATATAATGTATAGTTTATATATACGATATAGTCTATATATGTTATATAGTTTATATATGCTAATAAACTATATATTGTATAGTTTAGGGTTTAGTATTTTTATATATAGTTCATATGTAAATTATACTATATAGCATATATAGTTTATATATATAATATATAGTATATGAATATAAACTATAGTATATATATAGGTCATATGTAAACTATATAGTATATAAATGTCAACTATAGTATATATATATATAGGTCATATGTAAACTATATAGTTTATATATATTGTTCATATGTAAACTATAGTTCATATGCAAATATTAACTATAGTTTATATGCAAACTATAGTTAGTATATAAACTATATAGTTTATATGTAAACTATAGTTCATATATAAATATCAACCTTAGTATATACATATTTATATATATAGTTCATATGTAAACTATAGTTTATATATATACTATAGTTCATATATATAGTATATAAATATAAACTATAGTTTATATAAATAGTATAAAATATAGTATATAAATATAAATTATAGTATGTAGTTTATATAAATATAAATATAAACCCTAAATCCTAAAGCATAATATATATATATAAACTATATAGTTTATATTAATAAACTATATAATTTATACAATATATATTATTTATAATTACTCATAATATATAAATATAAATTGTATAGTTTATATATAATTTATATATAAACTATGTAGTTTATATATAGTTCAATAGTTCATATATAAACTATATTGTATTATAGTTTATAAATGGTATATATAGTTTATATTTTATACATGGTATATATAGTTTATATAGTATTCTAGTTTATATATGGTATATATAGTTTATACATGGTATATATATATATATATATATATATATATATATCTATATTAGTTGTTTTAATTTTTTTCTCAACTTATTACTTATTTCTATTTATTAATTGGTCCATAAGTTTTTAAATGAGTATAATTTAGTACATTTTTGTATTAATTTTAACCTCAAAATTTAAAATTATTTCGATTTGATCCCTTTTATGTTGTTTAATATATTTAAATTTTTATTTGTAATTTCATATTTGTTCAATTTAGTTCTCCAACTTTTATTTGCACCTGAAATTGACTCATACTTATTACTTATTTCTATTTTTAAATTGGCCCATAACTTTTTAAATGGGTATAATTTAGTACTTTTTTGTATTAATTTCAACCTCAAAATTTAAAATTATTTTGATTTGATCCCTTTTGCGTTGTTTAATATATTTAAATTTTTATTTGTAATTTCATATTTGTTCAATTTAGTCCTCCAAATTTTATTTGCATATGAAATTGACCCATACTTATTACTTATTTATATTTTAAATTGACTCATAACTTTTTAAATGGTTATAATTTAGTACTTTTTTGTATTAATTTCAACATCACAATTTAAAATTATTTCGATTTGATCCCTCATCAATGTGTGTTGTTTAATTTATTTAAATTTTTATTTATAATTTCATATTTTTTCAATTTAGTCCTCCAAATTTTATTTGCATATGAAATTGATCCAGACTTATTACTTAATTCTATTTTTTTAATTGGCCCATAACTTTTTAAATGTGTATAATTTAGTACTTTTTGTATTAATTTCAACCTTACAATTTAAAATTGTTTCGATTTGATCCCTCATCAATGTGTGTTGTTTAATTTATTTAAATTTTTATTTTTAATTTCATATTTGTTCAATTTAATTAATAAATTTGTATTTTTCATAAAATTGAACCATGATTATTTCTATTTTTAGTAATTTACTCTAAATCATATACAATTACAAATTACAATTCAACGTTCGCGAAAGACGAAAATAATTAATCCATAAATAAAAAATAACCCGATTTGAACTCAATCCGTATCTGATAGAGATCCGACCTTAATTTTATCTGCCAATGATGTGACACGATCTGAACGAGATCCGCCTAAAGTCTATCCGAACCTGAATTAACCTGCTTTTTAACTGCTTCAGACCTGAACTGTTTTGACCTGAACGGGCAACGATCCGAACTGAAAATGACCTGACCTGAACCCGATCTGGATCTGGTGTCAAATCAACCTGAAAATAAACCGAACTGATTAGACCTGACCTGAACCCGATATGGATCTGGTGTCAAATTTATCTGACTTGACATGTATCCGATTTTACTAGACCTGCCAGAATCCGACTGAAACCTAAACGATTACTCGATTTTACAACCCTAACAGGAACAATCCGATTATCAACAGTTTAAGATGATTATATCACATATCTTGCTTTAAACGAGATCAGGGTCCACCATATTTCAGAAAAATAATGAGGGAAAACTGGCTAAATATATTCTCTTTTTCTATGGTATTTCAAAAGTAGCTGGCCAGCAACAGGAATCCATCTTTATAAACAATTTTTAACATTTCATAAAATAGATGTTTTAATGTACCGGATTACCTTAATCAAATTCCATTAAAGGGATGATTTTATCTTTTGGTAGTTAATGATCATCTCAACCTTCCATCAACCGATACCATAAGTTTATATATATATATATTTCTCACTCTATCAATTTTATTATAGAATCATATTCGTATATATCATGTTAGATATTGATTCAAATTTTAATTATAAATTATTAACAATCAGTTGGTCTAATTGGATGAAGCACTATTTCTTTTAAGAAATGTTAAAAGTTTGAATCTTAACGTTGTTAATAGAAAAAATTGAGTTGGGCGGGTCGCTCACACCTCCGTCGTACTTAATTTGTGGATTAATTAATCAATAGATTGAAACTCAATGGTTGAACCAAAATTCTAATGAGAAATTAATTAAATTCGATTTTGTTATAATTCTATTTGTTGAATTTTATTTGGTGATTAAAGTTTATTTAGTTAAGAATCCTGAATAGAAATCCTTGGTGATAAGGTATTTAACTCTATAAATAAAAAATATATAATTATTTTTGTGAAGAAATGAGTTTTGTAGGAATATTTAAAGAGTGGTTTGGGATACTTCAAGTTTCGATATTGATATAAAATTTTATGAGACATAAGATATCATGTATTTGTACTCTTCGTAATCTCGTGGATTGTTATTCTTCTCATCTATGGAGATAGAGAAGACTGAATAAAGTTAAATATTATCTTTTACGCATGTTCTATTTTTCGTTGATATCGTTTTAGCTATTTTTCCTAACATATATTATACATAAGTATAAAATATATTATTTGATTATTTATAAACCCTGAAAAAAAAGTAATTATAATAAATTCAATGATGCATTTTTATATCCAACCCTCATGATAAAATTCACTACCATTCTAAAATACAAAAAAAAAAACTTGCCCGTGGGAAACAAGAAAGGAATATGTTTAGCCTTTTTCATCTTTAAACTATGTTTGCATCTGACAGAAAAATGCTTTAATCTTTGCGTATATTTTTAACAAAGATTGGGGGAAGTTTTAGCGTGCGACAACCTTAATATACTGTTAAAAAAAAGATATTATCGATTTTGTTATTATATTTTTAACAAAATCGGTAAACAATTACCTAAAAAATTATTATTTATACCTAAAATATTAATGTTTTTTAACAATTCCGGTAAAGTGTTTAATAATAACAAAACCGGTAGAAAAAATAACAAAACCGATAAAATACCCTATAATAACAAAACTGGTAGAAATAAAAATATTTTTTATAATTTTTTACCGATTTTGTTAAAAAATAATATCAAAATTAATTAGATCTTTTCTTAGTTGTATATTAATATTAAATACAGACTTTACCAAGATTGGTGTCTGGTGAGTCTAGGAAGTGCAAGACCAAGCATTGGAATGTTGAAAATTAAAAGCAGCCGGCGGCTATTAAATGAATTAAAAAAGGGGCTGCTGAATTTTGTTGATTTTTAGGCATGGGAAAATTATTTTTAATCATTGGACTTTAGGGTATTTACAAAGATTAGTCCCTAAGTTTCAACTATAAACACCCTAGCTCATTTAGCTTCAAAATCATCCCAAAATCAATTTCTTTCTCCCAATACTAAAGAGTTTAGAGAGTTTTCTTGTGAGTAGTGAGTGTTTTGTAAACACCTGTAAATTTTCTCTCTTTAGTAAAAGTCTACAGTAGTCCGGAGACGTAAGCAAATTGGTTGAACTCCGTTATCAATTTCGGGTATTATTTTTCCGCTTTTATTTCACATTCTCACTAATCTGGTTATAGGAAAATTACTTGTACTGGGTTTATTTTCCCAACA